CAGCACTTCAAGGGAGAAAGAAAAGGAAAAGGGAAGAAAGAAGGAAAAAAAGGAAAAGAAGGAAGGAGCAAGAAAAAGTAAGGGGAGGGAGGCTCCGGGGTTGAGAAGTATCCTGAAACTGGGACAAAGCTCCTTGGCACTCGAATCTGCTCCTCGCCACACTATCTATCGTTTGCAGGAATCATGGCTGCACGCCCCGCGACCATTCCTTCCAGGCGCAGAAAACTCTAATATCAAAGGCGGAGTCTGGAGGCAGGGTCACCAAGGCAGCTCAATCTTGGCGCCTTGACCTTTTTGTTGCAAAACTGACTCGAATTCGCACTTCAAGGGCCACCTTATCTGCCCCATGCCATCTTTTACAATTCCATAGGTCACCGAGAACCTTTCTTCTGAAGGGAGTAGTCGCGTAGCGCTCACCTTGTCACCTTACTGATGCCTTTGATTTATTTTCGTTTCCCTTCGATAGATGGTCAATATAGCCCTTAGGAGGGGACAGTTGTTTAGGGTATGGAAAAAAAACTCAAAAAAGCTCTGCATTACCAGCAACTCTCCTTGTTAATACAATGGTAAGCTTAACATTACCTGTTCAATGATTGTCCCGACGGTTTCACTGCTACAGGACGTACCCGAGCCATTCGACGTTTCTCTGAACATTGAAAAATATACACACTATCTACCTATGACAACAAAAAATGACGGACGCTGTCTGGCTTGGGAGGGGCATTTTTCGCTTGCGGAAGCTTCTTTTGCTAGTTCATGTCGAAAACAGGCTTCTTTTGGTGGGACCTGTAAACTATTGTGAATCCGAAACAGTACAGATGATCCACTTTGATTGCAAGAATTTGCACAGGTGGGTTGCTGTAAAGACATCGCTGTGTAGCATCGAATGCCCCCACCAAGCTGAAAAGAACTTCTGAGTTTTTCCAACAGTAGAACTTAGCTGGTGCTCCCTGAATATTTTACTAAATTGAGTGAGTCATGGAGTAGGACACCCGGTTCTGGACTGGAATTTCACTCCAACTTCGACAAAAAGTGAGAGTCACCTCACCCCCCCTGCCCCAATCGAAGAACCCAATGCAGTCGCCGCTTGGGATAAGTAATCTAGAGCTGCTTTTCCTACTAAGTCGCTCTTCCTCTTCTCTCTTTCCCCACTGCATTAGGATGGATGCGGCCACCTATCAGGAAAACACGAGTTCAGGTCGACCCCGCCCACAAATTTAATGTGGATAGTGCTCCTTTACGGTTTCCCTGAGTGTTGCTTGTCTGGAACCCTTCTTTCGTTATGAAACTCACTCAAGCCCGAGGAATCATGATATACTGTTCATAGTACACTGAACGCTGCGCCATCCTGTTTGAGCTCTTTGGTTGCTCGGTGCGTGTCAAAAGGGCTGTTTGACGTGATGCTAACCGAAAACTCGTCCAAAATTAATTTCTGTTAGCGGTATACTCGTCTACAGCCGTCCACAGCACAAAGGCTACTGCGCAGGTTTTTACCGTTCCATTTGATTTTTTGTCTTTCTCACTGAGTAGCGTGCATTGCAGGGAATGTACGCGGCCTTCAATTGAGCCTGATATTAGGTTGTCCGGAAAGTTCTCAGGTTTTGATGTGTTGCAATTTAACGAATCATACTTTCCTAAAAAACAACATTTCGGATTCAATCGAAACAAGCCACCTTAGAATAGCACACTTTTGATATATTATATTATATCCCATCAAAGAAAAAAACGCGTGGCTTGAGTTCCACGACAATCCACGAAGCTTTTTTTGCCTGGTTGATGATGTATTTTCCAGCAAGGAAGTTCTGAAAATGTTTGAAAAGGTGATAGTCGGTTGGTGAAAGGTCTGGAGAATATGGCGGGTGAGGTAGAACTTCAACCCAATTCGTTCAATTTATGGATAGTGATTTGTGAAACGTGGAGGGAGATCCGCTGTCATGCAAAGAATCATTTTTCTTCTGTTGACAAGTGCTGGCTGCAGCTGACGCAATTTTCGGTACATTTCGTCGATTTCTTCACAGTAGGACTCTGCTGTGATGGTTTGGCCTGGTGATAAAAAGTTATAGTGGATCACACCAGCCGATGACCACCAAGCCGTGACCAGAATCTTTTTTTCGTGAGGATTCGGCTTTGGAAATTGCCTCGGTGGTTCGTCGGCATCCAACCACTGTCCGGAACGTCTCCTGTTATCATACATGATCCACTTTTCATCACAGGTGACGAATTCGGTCCAAAAACGGTCGTTTTTGCAGTCAAAGCAGGTAAGAGGAAACTCGAGACGGGTGCCAGTATCGCCACTCATCAATTGAGGTTATCTTCCTCTTGTGATTTTTAACCGTCCCAATGTCTCTCTTTCGCCTTGCCTCCCATTCGCCAACAGTGACTTGCAACGCCTATTCTTCTATCTTCTAATTTTTCGGATGGTCATTCTCACAAACACCTTCAAATCCTCGTCAGGCATGCTTTGGCGTCGACCGCGACGAGGTCATCTTCATATCTATATCTATATATCTAATTATTCTGTCGACATTGTTCGCACGGTGCTTTCTCCAACACTATATCCCTCCACACCTGGTTAATTTGTCGAGCTGTCTCGACTGCGGATTGACCCAATTTGTAGTTGAAGAAAAATATCGTCCGAAGTTGCTCTTTTGACATGCTTCAAAAAGTCTTGGGAAAAAGGGGTTTATCAAGCAATGGTGAAACGGCAATTATACCATCAGATAGCGCAAAAATTCTCTTCAGGATGTACTACTGAGACGCAAGGGAGAATGAGTTTTTAATCAGCAATGAATGTACAAAAAATAGTAACACAAAACGCTGAGAACTTTCCGGACAACCTAATAGGTAAGGTAGTTGTATTCAAGATGAAGTAACAAATGGAATAAACGTACCGTTTGAATCTTCTTCCCCTATACGGGAAACCACCATATGGTTGACCGCCATAAGCTGGCCCGATAGGTGGCCCACCACCTGCATACGGCCCAACAATCGGACCGGCGCCCACACCTGTGGCACTGGCACTGGAAATGCTTTGTGAAGACGATGTAGCAGCAGCTGAACAGGGTGGTGGGGCGCAGATGCAGGTAGGACGTGGCCCGAGACCACCGAGGAGGTCGAAGAGAATAGAAGTTGAAAGAGGCAGGTAGAATAAAGCAGCAAGCTGTAAATAGAAAGGTTTCAGGGCAAAAATAAATTTGGCACTACTTACAAAGGCGCTTAACAAACATGACTTTGCAGTTCGTCACAAAGTAGCCTGTACTACTTTCTCTGACTGCCCACATTGAGCCGCGTAGCCCCCAATGCTCCTGAATTTAATATTCGTAGAGCACATAGTGGAGTTAGGCTCTATGGGGGCACTAAAAACACTCAGTGAAGCTTGCACCCGCTGGAGACCTGCTGGATCCTGGGACCAAACTGGCGCAGCTACACCATTTCCAGCTGCGTAAGACTTACACCTTCCAGCTAAGTAAAACCTGTTTGTTACGAACGTGAACGCGAACAAACAAAAGGAACTAGCAAAGCGCAAAATTCTTTCCTTCCCCCCCCCCGATCCCTCTAATTTAGGCCAAACAACACCCGAGAACAATTTAAGAAACTAATGGATTAATGGTGAGTGCGCTAAAAAAAATCTGGCATTCCACCTATAGTCTTGTTCGCTACGCTTGCTATGGCGTGTTAGGAGCTGGGTTTGCCAGCCTCTTTTTTTAAACCATAATTGTCGCTTGACCATTTCGTGAAGAACAGGCTGGCCTGCCCTAAAAGCCTGCCTCCCTAAAAGCCGCAACAGTCACAGGACATGAACAAGACTGCATGTAAGTACTCGGAGTTCATGGCTTCTACAAGTTCCAACCCATCAAATCCTTCAACTCCAAAAAAGCAATCTACAAATACGTTTTTCAGCGAATAGCTTTCAGCCAGTCCTTTTTTGAGACATTCTTTTCAAGGCACGATAAAGTCCCCTAGGCATGTAAGATGAAACACGCCAATCAGCAAAGAATTCCGCGCCCCTAAAAAAGCCTTACATGGTGTCCATCCCAACGAAAAGCGGTTTCCAAACATCTTAGCAAGGGACATACCAATCCCTCCAGCAACGACACGCCCACAAGTAGCCGCGACGACCACCCTGATCACGATCTAATCAGCAGTTTCCTTACTCGATAAGCGGCTGATTGACGCTTTTTTTTCCGTTTCTCAGGATTCCTTGTGACGATGTAAGTTTTTACTGGTAAAGAACACATCTTTAGCAGAGGGTGTTGTTTACCTGCAAGCAGCGCTGTTAATAAGGGTCCTATTCTGAGCATTTTAAGCCGTCTCGTCCCGTTTTTGCTTTACCCTCGTACTACAAAAAGCCTCTGCTCCCATTTCTGCAGAGAACCATATTATCGTACCTCAAGAAGATAGTGAAGGGCAGATGGATAAAGCACATGATCAAACCCTCCCCACGATAGGCCACAAATTCCACTTCCGTTCTCAGTTACGCTGGAATTTTGAATGGGATTTGGTTTGATGACAGCGATTTGCAGTAGTCGGGCACAAGGCGTCTCTGAATTTTTCTACTTCTCGACTGGCATCATCTACAGGACCCTGGAGACGGTGGGCCTAGCTAGCCTTGCCATAAGCTGATCCAAGGTTGGATGCTCTCACCATGGGCCCTCATAAACTGTGCCTTGCATACCTGACTTCCCCGAAGAGTATCACCTTTTTTGAAGTTTCGCGCTCGAAAAGAGGTGTGCTTCGCAGGAGACACCCTCTGGAGGGGCAACTATTGCTCCAATAGAAAGCAGCAATACTAGTCGGTGGACCGGTTCCTGATTGCATAACATATAGTCTCGTCCTAACATTCTGCGCTGACCAAAGGAAACTAAAGAACGGTTTCATTCAGCAGTAAGTGATGGTGAGTCGTGTTCCTCAATTGTGACATAATTCACGATAATTGGTTATAATTAATGATAATCCTTATTGATGAAAATGTGGAGGAATTTTTGGAAAAAAAGCAGAAAAACTCGGGAAACAGGTTGAAGATTGGCAAGCTTCAGAAAGATGGTAGGTAGGATGGGGGATGTGGGAGAAAGTGGGGTGGCCGTATCAGAGGAAGGAGTTCTGAGAAGGGGTTGTGATTTGCAAGTGTTCCCAACCGCCAGACGTGCCCTGATCAGGAAGCCGTCCTAGCCGCATGTGCTTTAGATTATAATCATAATCCCATCAAGAATGTACACTTCACATCACTGTTTGTGAGGGCGGGTGGGTATGGGTATGTATGTGCTTCAAATAGGCGTGGTGCCTCCGGCCGCGCTTCTGTGTTATTGGAACATTTGCCTTTGTGGAGCTTGAAGGCATATGGCACGATCAACTCGGCCTGAAATGTTAGCAAGGTGCTATATAGTGGGAAAACGGCAAAAAACGAAGTGAAACGATCGGAAACTGCGAAGAAAAGCCTTCGTTCTTGATGACCTAACAGACCAGCTCCCGCGATAAAAGTTCTCAATGGATACTGCGCTTTTCAGTTATGAACAGTAGCTGATAAGTAATCTTCCCAAAGAAGAAAACAGGCAAGAAGCGTCCTCCAGAACAACATAAACAAAATCGCTCCCTCACAGTCACACCTCCCTGCGGTCTCTGTGCAACCCCTAGCTCACAAATCTCTCTATCACATCTCGCAGTAGTTGATATCATCCAGTGCAAAAAAGAATACCAAAAGAAAACAACAAAAACGCAGAGGAAAAACTCTCTGAACGAAAAAGGAATTTCATCAACGCCGGTGTCTCAATTTGGTGGATGGAAGGGGATTGATTTGGAGGTATCGGGCTGTAGTTTGTGTGCGTCGAGGTTTTGTCACCACGAAAAACTGCGTCACCGTGCTTTTTTTCGCCGTTTTCACCTCGCGGAATGTGAGTTATTAATGGAATGTAAGAAATCCAAATGTAGGGGGGGGGGCGAGGGGGGTTAGCAACGTATGGTGGGGGGTGTAATAAAGGGGGAGCAGAATTATCCATGGCATTAGGCAATGGCCCGCGCCGCCCCGCTAAGAACAACTGAGTGGCCTCCGTCGGAGGACATCTAGCAAGTAAGGCGGTCCAACTGAGCAGGCGTTAGAACTAGAACTTACAGCGGCTGTAGCTCGCTTCTCGCTCGCTGTGCAGACGAATAGAGTGGGACAGTCTCTAGCTTGGGGGCTGTACTACTGGAAGGACGACCATGTACTACTCGAGCGCGGGGGCTGTCTTGGAAAGTGAATATTTGTCAGTTAGTTCCTCGTCGGCATCTTACCAAACCACTACGGTAGATACGGCATGATACACGATACACGCATGTACTCAATATCCATGCAGCACCATTGCCGCTCAATATCAGTCCCTTCGCTTCATATTTTACTCAGCAAATGAAGCACTTTCCTTGAAGAAGGAGCTGCGCCGCACAATGCTGCAGAGAACGCCGGAAATTCCGTCTGTCAGGCGTATTAAATCCTACTGCGTCTTGGGGATTGTTCGTTTGTCAGTTTTCTTTGAGACTGGATGACAGTTGTCGCAAATGAATGGCCTACGGAAAACGGCTTCGCCCACGCTATATTCCATTAGAAAACGCAGTTATACCCCATTCTGATTTCCGAGGTAAGGGGTGAACAGCTGGGGTCAAAAGTATTAAAGTAAATCAAAACGTTCTTTCGCACATACACTTTCTTCAGCAACCAAATTCCGCCTTACAGTTTTTCGTATATTATCCACCACGGTTGCCAATAAATTTCAACTTTGTCTGTCATAGTGCGTCAGTTTTCCGGAACGACTGATTTCAGCATCACAGTACAATCGTAGAGCTCACATTTTTTCCATTCCAAAAATGTTGCGACACTGGTGTCATAGCAATTCACTGTTTTTTTCAATGATTCGGAAGGAAGCTTGAGCGCCGGTCAAAAAACCTGTCGTTAATATAAAAAAATCATCACGAAGAAATGTGCTTTCGATTGTTCTAAACCATTCCGCAATGGAAAAAGTTTATCGATTAACGATTGAGTCTGTGACACTGGAAATGTAAATGTTGAAAATGTTGCAATTTATTGCGACGCCGAATTGCAGAAAATATTAAAATTTGAAAGGAGTTGGGTGTGAATAAGCGTTGTGGCAAATGAGCTGTTTATACGTGTGCGGCCCTTTGAGCCAACCAAACAGTACCATTTGGGGACGATGATTTGGTACCAGACTCGTCTGAGAGGCGAAGAACTTTTACTTTTACATAGGCCACCCCCTCCCCCACCGCCTAAGTCAGTGTACGGACCATATCGGATTCAGTACGTCATGACGATTCTGAATGGAAGTGGAATGCGCGGCGCGTCCCGAGAGGGATTATTCAACTACTTTTGAGGTTAAGCTTCATCGCTTCCTGGATAGCTAGCTAGCTGAAATAAAAAAAATGCTTAGCAGAAAGTGACATACCGAGACCAAACAGTGTGCCGTCATGACGCAGGTGAAATGGCGAAAACCAGAAGCATTGATGAGTGACTTTATAGTGCACTGGACACTTGTTGTTGTTGCTGTTTATGAAAACATGTTTAGCGAATAGCATTTCATGTCTCGACAACTACGAAGCTGACGCACTCTGCACCCCCTCCCCCACCCTCTCCTAGCCTGCAACTACCTTTGATCCCACACAAAAAACCAATTTCAACAGTTCAGAAGGCGCAGTTCGGCTCGGTTGAGACATTTTCTTTCATTCACTCGCTGCCAACATCTCTTTTGGAAACCTGTGTTTTCCTGTATGGTCATGCGAAAGCACGAGTGTTTGCATCTGAATAGTTTACAAGTTTTACCAAGCTGTGACCAAGTTTGACCTGTACTTTGCCAGAAACCAGGAAATTGAACAGAGGGAAGGGCAAAATGCTCCTCTCAAGCCGAGCAGCGGACCGAAAAGGTGACCAGGGTGACCGAAAAAATCTGGCAATTTCGTGTTCGAGCGTTTTTTGGTGGTCATCATAGTCTTTTTTCTCTCCGATAGGTTATTTGTATTCCGCAAGCAATTTCGATCTACTGTATGAGTCATCTATCCAATCACTTTCGATTTCTCCTCACAATGTCTCGAGAAAATCAAAAGGTCACAGTTGTTGAGATGCATCTTCTGGTCGGTGCTGGTTGCTTGAAGAATGTGTTCTCCACCGACGAAAAATTTTTTCGATCACAACTACCGGAATTGTCGTCAGCTCCTCAGAAAAGGTCAGCAGAAGACAACGGCTGCGAAATCCGTCGGACGCAGACTCTTTCCAGCCTCAGTCTGAGGCGGAGATCTGTGCCACGAAAGGCGCTCTCGTCCTCAATCGAGCGATCAGGTGAGGTAAGTTGCTGGCTCAACTACCATCAAAACGCTCTTCGCGATGTACTTGAAGCGATTGATGCGCAACACCTCGGCTCCGAAACTTCTAGCAAAGACGGGTTTCAACACATTCTGCAAAATCCAACGATTGCCGTTGTGAAGAGCTGTTTCTGGATTTTTGGGGCAAGGACGTTTGGCCTCCCAACTCGCTTGGTCCAAACTCGATGGATCACTCCATTTGGGGCGAAAAATCTCGGGAATCCAATGCGAGACGGTGGACCACCTGGAAAGAGGCGCTTCTGGACCCGGACGAAATTACAGGTTAGAAGAGCGCGCGGACCTTTGCGGACCTTCGGAAAAGCGACTGAGCAGTTGTATTGAAGCTGATGGAGGGAAAGTTTAAACACATGTTGTGACTTTGTCATATACTGTCATTGTTAATGATTCGATGAAGACTCCCAGCCGTTCAGACTTTGGATTATGGTTACAACTTTCTGGTCACCCTGTAATATGTACTTTATTTTAAGCATTATTCTCTCTGTTTAGAGGAAAGTAATGATGGCTGCCCATGCTTGGATCAAATTGTCGCCTGCCAGTGATCATGAACAAAGAAAAAGGAACAGCTAAAGTGCAAAATGCTCTCCCATTACGAAGAGCATCATCTGTCCTTATGTGTCCAGCAAGATGCTCCTTCTCCACCGCTCGGTATTCTTAAGTGTTGCTGCAACTTTCTTCATAAACCTAATTTAATCTCGTGAATAAGTGCCTTGTTCTAATAGTCACCTTATTTGAATGACTAACTTAAGCACCTCATTCAAGCGGCAGAGTAAACAAACTAAAGAAATAAATAGTTGTGCAGAGGTGAAGCTGCACAGTGTGTTCATGATTCGTTTATCCCGTCAGAAATTTCAAATTTTATTCTTAAAAGCATGTCATAAAAACTGGTCAACTATCAACTAGTAACTCTGTGACTAGAAAGTGAAAGCATAGCACGTAAGTTTGGTGTTTCTAACAGCGCAAAATTCGGCGTTGTCCGATATCGTGAACTTTGAATGGACTTGACGTGCAGAACACTGCCAATTGGCCGTCTTTCCTCGAATAGCGGCACTTATGTTTGACCGTGATTCAGCTTCATCTTCGGTCATTACCTAGAACAGATACAGTACTTTGGGCTTTTCCTGGCGAGACCCAGACAACGCCTACCTTCTTCATTATCTTCTTTAGCATAGAATTGTTGCACTCGAGATCACTGCTGACTCCAATGAGATTTCCGGATCTGAAAGAGGCGGTCAAGGGCTCGAATAGCGACGTGGGATCTTGAACACACATTCCGCATTGAAACAGATGGGCGGGTTGTCGTGGTATCCGCCCATCCAATTATCGTGAAATATGTCTTTAACTCGATACCTCTCAGAACTACTTACCTCTTAGTTCTGTGTCGACGGTAACCGCCAGTCATGTATCCACCAGAAGAAGGTGGAGGCTGCTCCATGTAGGTCATGGGTTTGGGAGCAGAATAAGTTGGTTGAGGGGCAGAATAACTCGGTGGAGGAGGGGGAGGATGATATTTCGGCTGAGGAGGGGGATAATATTTTGGTTGGGGAGGAGGAGGAGGATGATACATCGGCTGTGGAGGGGGATAATATTTTGGTTGGGGAGGAGGAGGAGGAGGATGATACATCTGCTGTGGAGGTGGTTGACAGGGTTGTGGTGGCGGAGGGTAATTAGGTGGTGGTGGTGGTGGTGGTGGTTGTGGTGGAGGGTAATAAGGTTGTGGTGGAGGATATGCAGGTGCAGCTGGAGGAGCATAACCACCGCCGCCCATCATACCTCCGCCGCCCATACCTCCGCCTAGTCCCATTTGGCCAAGGAGATCCCATAAGAACGCTGAGCTGAGCGGAATAAACGAGAGCAACAGCAGTGTTCGAGCAGACATCGCTGAAATGAGAAATACAGCCTAAATTTTGGAAGGGTTCCGAAGGGGTAAAGGTTGAGATGACCAGAAATGAATAGTTGTGCGAATGAAGAGTGTTGCCCACCTTATATAACCCGCCGAAGATTCGTGATAAATTCTTTTCGAGGTGACGGGAGTCATAACAAGTTTGCGTTCATCAAGCTGCCAGACAGTCAACAAAGGATCCCATGTAGTAACACTGGACCCCTAATTTGAAAGTTGTCCAGCATTTTCGATTCGCCGCCGTCATGACCTTGTCGTAGCCCCCCTAATAGTCGACGGCTAGTCGCCAAGCTATGCCCCTCCATTGTTTCCAATTCTGCACAGTGATTGATTTGGGAGTAATCGTTGATGAGCGGAAAGCATTCATTTTGGTTGAATCATGTGTTGGAACGGCTAGGCGGACTAATCGCTGTGAATGGGC